TAAATATATATGTTTATATATTATTATTATTATTATTATTATTATTATTATTATTATTATTTACTATATATATAAAATATATAAATATATAAATATACTAAATAAATATATATGTATATATTATATACTAAATATGTATATATATTATACATTATATACATATATTAATATTATCTAGATATATATACATTATATATACAATATATTTATATGTATACGTATATGTATGTATACGTATATATGTATATACGTATATATGTATATACGTATATATGTATATGCGTATATATGTATATATGTATATACGTATATATGTATATGCGTATATACGTATATATGTATATATGTATATACGTATATATGTATATATGTATATGCATATATGTATATGTATATATGTATATGTATATATGTATACAAGGTCTTTGCCATAGAAAACAACATAGGAAAGAAAAAGGAGACACATACAAGGAAAAGGAGACAGGAGACAAGAAAGGAGAAAAAAAGAAAGGAGAAAGGAGACAGGAGAAGGGAGACAGGAGTTCTTAGTAGGGTAGCAGACACTGTCTCCTTTTTTGTCTCCTTTTTTGTCTCCTTTTTTGTCTCCTTTCTTGTCTCCTTTTTATGTCTCCTCCTTTCTGCCTCTTTCTTGTCTCCTTTTCTGTCGCCTCTTCTGTCTCCTTTCTTTTTCTCCCTTTTTGTCCCCTTTTTTCTTTTTTTGTCTCCTTTTTTGTCTCCTTTTTGCCTACCCCCTTGCTGTCTCCTTTGTGCAGCAATCTGTCCCCACTTATATAAATTAGACAGAGGAAGGAGACAGAGGAAGGAGACAGAGGAAGGAGACAGAAGAAGGAGACAGGGGCCCCCCTTTATTATTATCTGTCCCCTGTCTCCTCTGTCTCCTTTTTTTATTTATTTATTTTTTTTTTCTTTTTTCTTTGTCTGCTTATTAAGAGACAAGTTTCTCTAGACTAGTAAGAATATACTCCATAGAATTAGATGTCTCCTCTTCTGTCTCCTCTTCTTCTTCTCCTCCTCCTCCTCCTTCTTGTTGTGTCTCCTTTTCTCCTGTCTCCTCCCTAACGGGGCCCCTGTCTCCTTGTACAGGGAGGCCCTCGTGCCTGCCTCCTTCTCCCCTAGGGGGGACCCCTTGCCTGCCTCCTTCTTCTATAGGGGGACCACGTTCCCTGTCTCCTTCTCCCCTAGGGGGGGCCCCCTTCCCTTTCGCCTTCTCCTCTAGGGGGGCCCCCTTGCCTGTCTCCTTCTCCCCTAGGGGGGCCCCCTTGCCTGTCTCCTTCTCCCCTAGGGGGGCCCCCTTGCCTGTCTTCTTTACCTGTCTCGTTTCCTTCTTCTTGTCTCCTACGGGGGACAACAGGAGGAGAAGAAGAAGAAGAAGGATCCATGATTGCTGATAGTTCTGCTGCTAATGTATCAAAGTCTAAGGGGTCTTTCCTGTCTCCTTTTCCCTTATCTGTCCCCTTTCCTGTCCCCTTATCCGTCCCCTTTCCTGTCTCTTCTTCTGTCTCCTTTACTGTCCCCTTTACTGTCTCTTTTTGTGTCTCCTCCTCGTCTATTTTGACCCATGCAGAGAGGCGAGAGCCCCTGGAGGCATCCGAGTGTGGGGAGTGGGATCGATCCCCGATCCCGATCCCGTTCCCGATCCCAATACCGTCTCCTGATCGCCCACCTACTGTCTCCTTACTTCCCCTTATATCTATTGCATGCGATGTCCTTCCTCCCTTACTATACACCCCAGGAGACCACTGGTGACCACTGGGCACCAACTGGAAACCAGCTGCCTCCTCTGTCTCATGAGGTGTCTCCTCAGGTGTCTCCTCAGGTGTCTCCTCAGGTGTCACCTGTGTCTCCTGCCAGGTGTCTCCTGTCTCCGACAGTAACTGTCTCCTCTCCAATTGAGGGTATACCCTTACTGCCTTTGGGTATACATATAGTCCTTGTTGTATATATAAGGCCTCTGGTGAGGAGACAACTCCTGTCTGCTCCTGCTGCTGTCCCATCCATATCTGCTGCTGCTGCTGCTGCTGTTGCTGCTCTTGCTGCTGCTGTCGCCTCCCTGTCTGCCCCCCCATGTGTCTGCTCCCTCTATAAATAAAGGGACTACCTGTCCCCTCCTCAAAGAGACGACTATCCCAATTATATTGTTCTGCCTCCTCTTGCCATGGCATATAACCTGTCTCCTCCTGCCATAGGGGGTCTGCTGTTCCCTGTCCCCTTATATCTTCTTCTTCTTCTTCTGCTGCTGCTGCTGCTGCTGCCTCCTCATTACTATCTCCTGTTGACCACACAGGATAATAAGGACTTGTCTCCGTTAATAAACTATCTATCCAGTCTCCTCCATAAGCGCCTCCTGTCTCTCCTCCCTGACCGTCTCCTCCTGTCTCCCCTCCCTCCCCCCTTGGCTCCCATACAAATCCAACTGTCTCCTGTTGTGTCTCCCCAGGTAACAATTGTATCCCCCAGGTGTATGGATAAGTGTCGTCTAGAAAAGGGAAAGTGTCTCCTCCTGTCTCCGCCACTAGTGTCACCTCCCCATCATCAACTGTCTCCTCGTCTCCCTCCCCCTCTGCCGCTTGCTGCTGTTGCAGGGGTGTTCGTCTCTGCATGCTGCCTGCACCAACTCTGTCTCTAAAGAAAGCAGCAGCAGCAGCAGCTGCTGCTGCTGCAGGATCAGTTTGCTGCCATGACGATTCTCCCTGTCCCCATTCTTGTAGTGACTGCACCTGCTGCTGCTGCTGCTGTGTTTCTGTTCCTTCTGTTGCTGTTGCTGTTGTTGCTGCTGCTGCAGCTGAGGTTTGCTCGCTCTGACTCGATTGCCTTAACCTTGGAGGTATATACCTTGGGATCGGGGCCGTCTTTGCGGTCGGGATCGTCTTGGGGGGCGGAGTCGTCTGTGGGATCGGGATCGTCTGTGGGAGCGAGATCGTCTGTGCGGTCGAAGTCGTCTGTGCGATCGAGGTCGTCTGTGGGATCGGGGTCGTCTGTGGGATCGGGGTCGTCTGTGGGATCGGGATCGTCTCCTTTCTCTCCGCCTCCTCCTCTCCCCTTCCAAAAATTGTGTATTTTGTCTCCTTTTGTCGGCTTGAGGGAGGAACATAAGATACCCATGGGTTATTATCTGCTTGCATTGTTGCTGCTGCTGCTGCTGCTGCAGCTGCTGTAGCAACAGCTGCTGCAGCAGTTGCTGCAGCAGTTGCTGCAGCAGATCTTGCTGCAGCTGCTGCCTCCTTGTCCACCCCACCTCCTGCTCCTCCCGAGGCATTCTCGGTAGCGGGATCGGTACCGACATGAGGTTGGTATTCCTCCCCTATCTGTTGATCATCCTCCTTCTCCGCGTTATCATTCCCCTCCCCCTCATCTGCTGATGCCGCCGTTGCTGCTGCTGCTGCTGAAGGTACAACTTCTTTTATCTCTCCTAATATAATATATTTAGATGTATAATGCGGTCCCTTCTCGGATATTGTCTCATCTAAGGAAAAGAGGAAACCAGGACAACAACGTCTCTCCTCTACTAGTAGCCACATACAATCAAGGGGATGTCTAAGCATTTGTTTTCTTCTTAGATCTACTAATGACTGCATGGATAGTAGATAACTATATAATTCTCTATGACTTGCTGCTGCTGCTGCAGCAGCTGCAGCTGCAGCAGCTGCTGTTGCACTAGCTACAGCTGTTGCAGCCTCTAACTTGTAACCCTCTGCTGATGCTGCTGTTGCAGCAGCAGATGCTGCTGCTGCTTCTGCTGCTCCCTTAACAATGTCATGTATATTACTCAACTTTATCTGGTTTCTTAGGGAAGACAATAAACTTAATAATGCACTAACAGATATCTTCATAGAGACTAAGAGGGAATGTCTCTTAACAGTAGACATATGTGGCTGTAGATAAGGTGTCATAGAGAAGGAGGAGACAGTCATAGCTAGCTGCTGCAGCAGCAGCATATCTCTGCTTTTATTGGCAGATTGATAGATTTGTTCTTTTACCCTTGTTGTTGTTGCTGCTGCTGTTAATACACTAGAGAAATTAAGGAGACAATTTGCTGCCCATTGTCTGTCTTCTCCTCCTAATACTCCTCCTACCGATCCCAACTCCAGCAACATAAATCTGCCAACTGTTAATAACAAACGAGAGGCCGAAACAGCATCCAATTCTTTTGCCATCTCTGTTGTCTCCTCCTCTACCCGTTCTAATAAACAAGATAAAGTATTCAGTATACTAGGACCCCACATACTCCCTTGTCTCTCCTCTACCATCGCACTACTCGCACGATCCTCAACACGATCCCCAACACGATCCCCAGCAGGATCCAAGTATGCATCCTCATCTACACCATCATCAGGAGCCTCTACAGGTTCCTCAACAACTTCCTCAACAGGATACTCGGCAGGACCCTCAACAGGAACCTCAACAGGTTCCTCAACAGGATCCTCAACACGATGCCCATGGGGATCCTCAGTACGGTCCGTATCACGATCCCTATCACGATCCCTATCACGATCCCTATCACGATCCCCATCACGATCCCCATCACCATCCTCAACACGATCCCCACCAGGGTCGTCCATACGTTTCCTAGCACTATCCTTAACACTGGGACGACCCAAAATGCGAATACGAGTTGTGGGATCCCCAACACGATCCCTAACCGATCCCCAGCGATCCCCACCCGGTCCCCAACGATCTCCAGCCGCTCCCCAACGATCTCCAGCCGCTCCCCAACGATCTCCAGCCGCTCCCCAATGATCCACACCCGTTCTCCAGCGATCCCTATCACTTCCACGATCCCAACGACGTTCCCAATAACTTCCACTCAACCTAGAATGCTGTCCATAGCGACTGCCGCGAGCCCCACGATCTCCATCACGATCCCTGTCACCGTCACGATCCCCACCACGATCCCCATAACGAACACGGGCCTCAGTACCACCACTATCCCTAGAATGATATCCATACGAAGAACGAGCTCCGCTATCCCCAACACGATCCCCATCTTCCCCACGACCCCCAACACGATCCCCATCACCGTCACGATCCCCAGCACGGTCTCCAGCACGTTCCTCAAAACGATCCCCATAACGAACACGGGCCCCAGCATCAGCACTATCCCTATGACGATATCCATAAGCAGAACGATCCCCTGAACGATCCCCTGAACGATCCCCACCACGATCCCCACCACGGCCCCAATCACCCTCATTTGCTCCAGCACGGTCCCCTGCCCGATCCCCTTCATCACCACCTTCCCTAAAACGAGATCCATACGGAAGACGGTACCCTCGTTCCCCTGCACGATCCCCACCACGATCCCAACTACGATCCCCATCACGATCCCAACTACGATCCCCACCACGATCCCAACTACGATCCCCACCACGATCCCAACCACGATCTCCGCCAGTCCCACGATCCCAAATACGATCCCCACCAGTCCCACGATCCCAACTACGATCTCCACGAGTTCCACGATCCCAACCACGATCCCCACCAGTTCCACGATCCCAACCACGATCCCCACCAGTCCCACGATCCCAACCACGATCCCAACCAGTTCCACGATCCCAACCACGATCCCAACCAGTTCCACGATCCCAACCACGATCCCCACCAGTCCCACGATCCCAGCCGCGACCCTCATCACCCGCACGATATCCATATCGAGCACGAAGTGTATCGAGGTGACGTTCCCCACTGCGACCTCCAAAACGATGACGATCCCAATCGCCAACACGATCCCAACCCCCTTCCATTTCCCGTTCCCGATCCTGATTCCGAGTCGGTCCCTGGCCCCACAACTGAGGCTCACCTTCACCACGATCCCAGCCCTGACGCCGACCACGATCCCAATCCGGGCTCGCAGCGAGACCCCGATCCCGACCCAGATCCCTCCTGCTGCTGCTGCTGCTAGGCTGTTCTTCCTCCTCCCTTCGTGGGGTGCCCCCACCTTCGCAGATACTCCCTAACAATCGATAACGTGGGTATACACCCGAGAGTAGTCTTTTATTAGATGAGGGTGTGGGGTTGGAGAGGAACTGAGAACAGCGCAGCAGCAGCAGCAGCACAACAAGTGCAGCAGCTGCAGCAGGAGTCACCCTAGCTATAGCAGAAGGAGATCTTCGCCCTCTACGCCAACTACTAATTGTAGCAGGTATAGGCAGATCTTTTGTCTCCAAACTTTGCTGCTGCTCATCTACCTGCTGCTGTTCTTGCTGCTGTTGCTGCAGCTGCTGCTCTTCCTCCTTCTGCTGCAGGGAGACACTCCCTAGCTGCAGCTGTTCCCTCATCCTCGGTTTCTTAAGAAGACACCAACAACCCCATGAGGTAAGAAAGGAGACAGAAGAGGGATGAAGCAGGAGACACTTTGCTGCTTCAGTTGTTGCTGCTGCATCAGTTGTTCCGGCCGCTGCTGCTGCTGCTGCGGGACACTTTGGAGCACGAGTGGAGAAGCAGCAGCAGCAGCAGCAGCAGAGAGAGGCAGCGGGGCGGTACGACAAGGAGACAAATAAAAGGAGACACTAACCCTACTTTTAATTCACTTTTTCTCGGATACAAAAAGAAAAAAGGAGACAGTACGCCACATTAATAGGGACCCGCTGCTGCTGCTGCTGCTCCTGCTGCTCCTGCTGCTGCTGCTCCTGCTGCTGGTTGAGGCGTGTGGGGCCCCCCAGTTAGCTAGCTAAGACTAACTGCAGCAGCAAAACGGGATCTGCATATACACTGTACAAAATTACAATCAATTTCCTGGTGTCACTGGAGCAGAAGCTGCTGCTGCCGCTGCTGCTGCTGCTGGTCTTGCGACTGTCACTGGTAGTGGTGTTACTGCTGGTGATGCTGCTGCTGCTGCTGCTGCTGCGCTTCTTCCTGAAGGAGGGAGCTGCGTGTTGTCTTCTATTTATAAGGGGGGATAAATAAAAAAAGCAATACAGAAAACCCAAAGAAGACAATGAGGGGACACCTCCAGCAGCAGCAACAGGTCGTCGTCTGCTGCTGCAGCAGCAGCAGCAGATGATCTGGTGCACGAGTAGGCCGAGGCAGCAGCTAAAAGGGACTTTTTCCTCTGTTTAGTCAGAAAACCCAAAGAAGACAATGAGGGGACACCTCCAGCAGCAGCAACAGGTCGTCGTCT